CCATCTGTCCTAATGTCTATATGTCCTCCAACTGTCTTGTCTTGTGCCTGCCATCTGTCCTAATGTCTGTATGTCCCCCAACTGTCTGTCTTGTACTGTGCCTGCCATCTGTCCTAATGTCTGTATATCCCCTAACTGTCTTGTCTTGTGCTTGCCATCTGTCCTAATGTCTGTATGCCCTCCAACAGTCTTGTCTTGTGCCTGCCATCTGTCCTAATGTCTGTGTGTCCTCCAACTGTCGTGTCTTGTGCCTGCCATCTGTCCTAATGTCTGTATGTCCCATAACTGTCTTGTGCCTGCCATCTGTCCTAATGTCTGTGTGTCCCCTAACTGTCTTGTGCCTGCCATCTGTCCTAATGTCTGTATGTCCCCTAACTGTCTTGTGCCTGCCATATGTCCTTATGTCTGTATGTCCCCTAACTGTCTTGTGCCTGCCATCTGTCCTAATGTCTGTGTGTCCTCCAACTGTCTTTTCTTGTGCCTGCCATCTGTCCTAATGTCTGTATGTCCCCTAACTGTCTTGTGCCTGCCATCTGTCCTAATGTCTGTATGTCCCCCAACTGTCTTGTACTGTGCCTACCATTTGCCATAACTGTATGTCCGCCAACTTTCATGTCCCTGATTTGATTGTGAGTGCTTATATGTGATTCTAGGAAATGAGAAAGTGAATGAGTGTGATCATGATGCGTGTATATCTATGTGTTGCATATGTTCACTGGAGTGTTACAGAGAGTAGTACACTGACCCACCATTTCTGTCAGCAGGTATGCATGGCCAGCTGCCAGACTACTTCCAGTACCAGGAGTCCTACAGAAACCCAGCACACACCAGCGCTAGTGGCCACTGTCGGGGCACTCCGCCTCCTTCAGGCTCCCGGGCTGTTTCAGAATCTGACTCCATCCAGAAAGCTCCATGGGAGTTTGATTACCCAAACATCTTGGAGAACTACATGGAAGGTTTGTGACTTCATGTTGTTGTTGTACGTACAGACAGACGGGTGATTTCATGTTGTTGGTTTATGTACAGACAGACTGGTGATTTCATGTTGTTGTTGTATGTACAGACAGACTGGTGATTTCATGTAGTTGTTGTATGTACAGACAGACTGGTGATTTCATGTAGTTGTTGTATGTACTGAGAGACTGGTGATTTCATGTAGTTGTTGTATGTACAGACAGACTATGATTTCATGTTGTTGTTGTACGGACAGATAGACTTGATGATTTCATGTTGTTGTTGTATGTGGAGACAGACGTGATTTCCTTCTAGTTGTGAGTGGAGACAGACTGGTGATTTCCTTCTAGTTGTGAGTGGAGACAGACTGGTGATTTCCTTCTAGTTGTGTGTGGAGACAGACTGGTAATTTCCTTCCAGTTGTGTGTGGAGACAGACTGGTGATTTCCTTCTAGTTGTGTGTGGAGACAGACTGGTGATTTCCTTCTAGTTGTGTGTGGAGACAGATGTGATTTCCTTCTAGTTGTGTGTGGAGACAGACTGGTGATTTACTTCTAGTTGTGTGTGGAGACAGACTGGTGATTTCCTTCTAGTTGTGAGTGGAGACAGACTGGTGATTTCCTTCTAGTTGTGAGTGGAGACAGACTGGTGATTTCCTTCTAGTCATGTGTGGAGACAGACTGGTGATTTCCTTCTAGTTGTGTGGGAAGACAGACTGGTAATTTCCTTCCAGTTGTGTGTGGAGACAAACTGGTGATTTCCTTCAAGTTGTGTGTGGAGACAGACTGATGATTTCCTTCAAGTTGTGTGTGGAGACAGACTGGTGATTTCCTTCAAGTTGTGTCTGGAGACTGGTGATTTGCTTCAAGTTGTGTCTGGAGACTGGTGATTTGCTTCAAGTTGTGTCTGGAGACAGACTGGTGATTTCCTTCAAATTGTGTCTGGAGACTGGTGATTTGCTTCTAGTTGTGTGTGAGATTTACTTCTTGTTGTGTGTTGAGACAAGACTTGTGATTTGTTTCAAGTTGTATGTACAGACAGACTGGTGATTTCATGTTGTTGTTGTATGTACAAACAGACTGGTTTTTTCATGTTGTTGTTGTATGTGGAGACAAACTTGTGATTTCTTCTAGTTGTGTGTGGAGACAGACTGGTGATTTCCTTCTAGTTGTGTGTGGAGACAGATGTGATTTCCTTCTAGTTGTATGTGTAGACAGACTCGTGATATCCTTCTAGTTGTGTGTGGGGACAGACTGGTGATTTTCTTCTAGTTGTGTGTGGGGACAGACTTGTGATTTCCTTCCGGTTGTGTGTGGAGGCAGACTTGTGATTTGCTTCAAGTTGTGTGTACAGACAGACTGGTGATTTCATGTTGTTGTCTGTGTACAGACAGACTTGCTTCCAGTTGTGTGTGGGGACAGACTTGTGATTTCCTTCCAGTTGTGTGTGGAGGCAGACTTGTGATTTTCTTCTAGTTGTGTGAGGAGACAGACTGCTGATTTCCTTCTAGTTGTGTGTGGAGACAGACTGGTGATTTGCTTCTAGTTGCGTGTGGAGACAGACTTGTGATTTCCTTCTAGTTGTGTGCACAGACTGGTGATTTCCTTCTAGTTGTGTGCAGAGACTTGTGATTTGCTTCTAGTTGTGTGTGGAGACAGACGGGTGATTTCCTTTTAGTTGTGTGTGGAGACAGACTTGTGATTTGCTTCTAGTTGTGTGTGGAGACAGACTGGTGATTTCCTTCTAGTTGTGTGTGAAGACAGACTGGGGATTTGCTTCCAGTTGTGTGTGGAGACAGACTGGTGAATATCTTCTAGTTCTGTGCAGAAACAGACGAATGAGTTCTCTACTAGACACTTTAGATGTTCTTGTCCTGTCAAGACTAGGCTGGAAGTTATAGTTGAGGCGGCAATCAGGGGTTACTTCTGTTGTGCTCATGTGTGAACAGTCAGTGAACAATACAAGTGATTTATGTCTCTGTCTCTCTCTCTGTCTCTTTCTCTCTTTCTCTCTCTCTCTCACACACACACATATGCATGCATGCGCACACACACATACACGCGCACACACACATGCACGCACGTATGCACACACACACATGCACTCACACACACACAGACACCCTCCACAAATTAAACACCACAAAGCACAACACACAGCTAGTATTGCTTGGAACCAAACATTACAAGAGACTTCAACCTGAGATCACCAGACTGAACTATGTGACCACTGTTTGATTGAATCTGTCACTGATGGCTTCAATAGACATTTGATCTGATGCATGCTTTCTTCTGAAACACAACATACATTTAGAGTTTAAGTTTGTATATGATGTCTGTTACAAGAACATAATGTAGAGTTTCAGTTTGTATATGATGTGTCTGTCACAAGAACATAATGTAGAGTTTCAGTTTGTAATGTAGCTGTTACAAGAACATAATGTAGAGTTTCAGTTTGTAATGTAGCTGTCACAAGAACATAATGTAGAGTTTCAGTTTGTAATGTAGCTGTCACAAGAACATAATGTATAGTTAGAGTTGTAATGTAGCTGTCACAAGAGCATAATGTAGAGTTAGAGTTTGTTATGTAGCTGTCACAAGAACATACATGTAGTGTTAGAGTTGTAATGTAGCTGTCACAAGAACATACATGTAGAGTGAGTTTGTAATGAGCTGTCACAAGAGCATAATGTAGAGTTAGAGTTTGTAATGTAGCTGTCACAAGAGCATAATGTAGAGTTAGAGTTTGTAATGTAGCTGTCACAAAAACATACATGTAGAGTTAGAGTGTGTAATGTAGCTGTCACAAGAACATACATTTAGCATCAGTTTGCAATGTAACTGTCACAAGAACATAATGTAGAGTTAGAGTTTGTAATGTAGCTGTCACAAGAACATACATGTAGAGTTAGAGTTTGTAATGTAGCTGTCCCAAGAACATAATGTAGAGTTAGAGTTTGTAATGTAGCTGTCACAAGAACATAATGTAGAGTTAGAGTTTGTAATGTAGCTGTCACAAGAGCATAATGTAGAGTTAGAGTTTGTAATGTAGCTGTCACAAGAACATACATGTAGAGTTAGAGTTTGTAATGTAGCTGTCACAAGAACATAATGTAGAGTTAGAGTTTGTAATGTAGCTGTCACAAGAACATAATGTAAAGTTAGAGTTTGTAATGTAGCTGTCACAAAAACATAATGTACAGTTAGAGTTTGTAATGTAACTGTCACAAAAACATAATGTACAGTTAGAGTTTGTAATGTAGCTGTCACAAAAACATAATGTAGAGTTTAAGTTTGTAATGTAGCTGTCACAAGAACATACATGTAGAGTTGGAGTTTGTAATGTAGCTGTCACAAGAACATACATGTAGAGTGGTAGTTTTTGTTTTGTTTATCTTGCTGTTATAAGAACATACATGTAGAGTGTCAGTGTCTGATGTAGCTATCAAAAGAACATACCTGTAGAGTACCAATTTGTGATTTAGCTATCACAAGAACATACGTTTAGCATCAGTTTGTAATGTAGCTGTCACAAGAACATACATGTAGAGTGGTAGTTTTTGTTTTGTTTATCTTGCTGTTATAAGAACATACATGCACAGTTTTAGTGTCTGATGTAGCTATCACAAGAACATACATGTAGAGTACCAATTTGTGATGTAGCTGTCACAAGAACACACATATAGCATCAGTTTGTGCTGTAGTTGTCACAAGAACAAGCATGTATTTCTCTAACACACTGGGTCTGCAGGTGACAAGAAGCAACATGACAAGATGGCCAAACAAATGCCCGGAGCCTACTCCCCACAGCCATCTCCTGCCCTCAGCCATGGCCGCTCCCAGGGTCCCAGCCCACCGGCTGAGTTCACCTCCTTGAGCTCCTTCCACGGCTCAGAGGATGATCTCATTGGTAAGTTGTTGCGTTCTGTGATTTCTCATGGAGAACTGGTACTAGAGAGCAGTCTGTCTACTGGATGATCACAGTGTGGTAGACATTGAGTGAAAGATTCCTCATTAAAAACTTGGTGCTGTATTTTGAGTCTGCAGTTATTTTAAATTCTCCAGTTTGATATAATATAAACATTGGATCTCTGAAAAGAACAGGAAACAGAAGTTATGAAACAGGCACACTACAGCCCACAGACATGTTTTATGTCCCCCATTGTCTTGGGGCCAACATGTCATTGCTTGGGCACTTATGTGGAATATTATGTCTCAGAGGTTCACATCCAGGGCAACATGATCAGCCCATGATTGGGTGGGCAGGGTGAGGGAGAAGTTAAGAGAAGTTCAGTGGTTGGTGTGAGGGAGATGTTACAGGAGTGTAGAGAAGTTCAGTGGTTGGTGTGAGGGAGTTGTTACAGGAGTGTAGAGAAGGTCAGTGGTTGGTGTGAGGAAGATGTTACAGGAGTGTAGAGAAGTTCAGTGCTTGGTGTGAGGGAGATGTTACAGGAGTGTTGAGAAGGTCAGTGGTTGGTGTGAGGGAGATGTTACAGGAGTGTAGAGAAGGTTGGTGTGAGGGAGATGTTACAGGAGTGTAGAGAAGTTCAGTGGTTGGTGTGAGGGAGATGTTACAGGAGTGTAGAAAAGTTCAGTGGTTGGTGTGAGGGAGATGTTACAGGAGTGTAGAGAAGGTCAGTGGTTGGTGTGAGGGAGATGTTACAGGAGTGTAGAGAAAGTCAGTGGTTGGTGTTATGGGGATGTTACAGGAGTGTAGAGAAGGTCAGTGGTTGGTGTGAGGGAGATGTTACAGGAGTTTAGAGAAGGTCAGTGGTTGGTGTGAGGGAGATGTTACAGGAGTGTGTAGAAGGTCAGTGGTTGGTGTGAGGGAGATGTTACAGGAGTGTAGAGAAGTTCAGTGGTTGGTGTGAGGGAGATGTTACAGGAGTGTAGAGAAGGTCAGTGGTTGGTGTGAGGGAGATGTTACAGGAGTGTAGAGAAGGTCAGTGGTTGGTGTGAGGGAGATGATGATACAGGAGGGTAGAGAAGGTCAGTGGTTGGTGAGAGGGAGATGTTACAGGAGTGTAGAGAAGGTCAGTGGTTGGTGTGAGGAAGATGTTACCGGAGTTTAGAGAAGGTCAGTGGTTGGTGTGAGGGAGATGTTACAGGAGTGTAGAGAAGGTCAGTGGTTGGTGTGAGGGAGATGTTACAGGAGTGTAGAGAAGGTTAGTAGTTTTTTTGTGAGGGAGATGTTACAGGAGTTTAGAGAGGGTCGTGGTTGGTGTTATGGAGATGTTACAGGAGTGTAGAAAAGGTCAGTGGTTGGTGTGAGGGAGATGTTACAGGAGTGTAGAGAAGGTCAGTGGTTGGTGTGAGGGAGATGTTACAGGAGTTTAGAGAAGGTCAGTGGTTGGTGTGAGGGAGATGTTACAGGAGTGTAGAGAAGGTTGGTGTCAGGGATATGTTACAGGAGTGTAGAGAAGGTCAGTGGTTGGTGTGAGGGAGATGTTACAGGAGTGTAGAGAAGGTCAGTGGTTGGTGTGAGGAAGATGTTACCGGCGTGTAGAGAAGGTCAGCGGTTGGTGTGAGAGAGATGTTACAGGAGTGTAGAGAAGGTCAGTGGTTGGTGTGAGAGAGATGTTACAGGAGTGTAGAGAAGGTCAGTGGTTGGTGTGAGGGAGATGTTGCAGGAGTGTAGAGAAGGTCAGTGGTTGGTGTGAGGGAGATGTTACAGGAGTGTAGAGAAGGTCAGTGGTTGGTGTGAGGCAGATGTTACAGGAGCGCAGACCTAAGTAGGAGGATAATCAATTGTAGTTTCTCTGCTCGGGGACAGAGATAGATTAACTGAAGAAGTCAGAAATGGTGCACTGCTGCAGAGACAGACATTGTTATGAGTGAATCAACACTTGTACATGACAATACATTCAGGACACAGAGAATTCTGCTTTGATGGGGTCAACATGGAGGGCACACAGAGAATTCTGCCTTGATGGGGTCAACATGGAGGGCACACACAGAATTCTGTCTGCCAGAGTCAACATGAAGACACAGACAATTCTGTCTTGACAGGGTTAACATGGATTAGGTTACAATTCAAACAGTGCTTATTTTGTTTTGCTTTTAATGACCTTGGCTTCCAGGTCTTGAGTAGGTATCAGGCGAAGTCCTAGGAAGTAAAGGTGACTGGTGTCATTTTGAGCACATTACAAAGTGAGTGCCAGCTGGTCTACACAATATAGGGCTAGCTCATTACACCTGAAGGTGGGGAAAAGGTCCGATACTTTGTGTGCAATGGCTTATTGATTGACTGACCAACCAGTAAATGACTGCCCAACCAGGGACCATCAGAGTAGTGAGTGACTGCCCAACTGGTGAGTGACTGACCAACTGGTGAGTGACTTACCAACCAGGGACCAGCCAACCAGTGAGTGACTGACCAACCAGAAAGTGACTGACTAGCCAGTGAGGGACTGACAGCTGGTGAGTGACTGACTAACCAGTGAGTGACTGACAAACCAGTGAGTGACTGACTAATCAGGAGTGACTGACAACTGGTGAGTGACTGACTAACCAGTGACTGACTGACTAACCAGTAAGTGACTGACTAACCACTGAGTGACTGACTAACCAAGAGTGACTGAAAGCTGGTGGGTGACTGACTAGCCAGTGAGTGACTGACTAACCGGTGAGTGCCTAACTAACCAGGAGTGACTAACAGCTGATGAATGACTAACCAACCAGAAAGTGACTGACTAGCCAGAGTGTGACTGACTAACTAGTGAGTGATTGACTAACCAGTAGTGACTGACAGCTGGTGAGTGACTTACCAACCAGTGAGTGACTGACCAACCAGTTAGTGATACCAACCGGTGAGTGACTGACCCACCAGTGAGTGAGTGACTAACCAGTGAGTGACTGACCAACCGGTGAGTGACTGACCAACTGGTGAGTGACTGACTAACCAGTGAGTGACTGACCAACCAGCCAATGACTGACAACCAAGCACCAGCAGAGTAGTGAGTGACTGACCAACCAGAGACCAGTCAACCAGTGAGTGACTGACCAACCAGAAAGGGACTGACTAGCCAGTGATTGACTGACAGCTGGTGAGTGACTGACCAACTGGGACCAGTTAACCAGTGAGTGACCGACCAACCAGGGACCAGCCAACCAGTGAGTGACTTACCAACCAGAAAGTGACTGACTAGCCAGTGAGTGACTGACAGCTGGTGAGTGACTGACTAACCAGTGAGTGACTGACTAACCAGTGAGTGACTTACTAACCAGTGAGTGACTGACTAACCAGGAATGACTGACAGCTGGTGAGTGACTGACTAACCAGTGACTGACTGACTAACCAGTGTGTGACTGACTAACCAGTGAGTGACTGACCAACCTGTGAGTGACTGACCAACTGGTGAGTGACTGACCAACTGGTGAGTGACTGACCAACTGGTGAGTGACTGACCAACCAATGAGTGACTGACCAACCAATGAGTGACTGACCAACCAGTGAGGGACTGACCAACTGGTGAGTGACTGACCAACTGGTGAGTGACTGACCAACTGGTGAGTGACTGACCAACTGGTGAGTGACTGACCAACTGGTGAGTGACTGACCAACTGGTGAGTGACTGACTAACCGGTGAGTGACTGACTAACTGGTGAGTGACTGACCAACTGGTGAGTAACTGACCAACTGGTGAGTGACTGACCATCTGGTGAGTGACTGACCAACTGGTGATTGACTAACCAACTGGTGAGTGACTGACCAACCGGTGAGTAACTGACCAACCGGTGAGTGACTGACCAACTGGTGAGTGACTGACCAACTGGTGAGTGACTGACCAACTGGTGAGTGACTGACCAACTGGTGAGTGACTGACCAACTGGTGAGTGACTGACTAACCGGTGAGTGACTGACTAACCAGTGAGTGACTGATTAACCAGAGAGTGACTGACCAACCAGTTATTGACTGATAGCTGGTGAGTGACTGACAGCTGGTGAGTGACTGACAACTGGTGAGTGACTGTCCTAAATTGACTGCTAGCATATGCTGATATAAATGTGATGACATATTTTGATGTCATGTTTCTCATTGAATCCCTGCCCACACTTGCAGCCAGGCAAGGCAAGAGGAAAGGTACACACACCTGGCATGTTTGACCCAGACTCTTCTGTTGCTCCTGCATATCTGTAGTTTCTGTTCCTCCTGCATATCTGTAGTTTTTGTTCCTCCTGCATATCTGTAGTTTTTGTTTCTCCTTTCCTTTTTGGTTTCTTTTAGCTAGATGTATTTTTGTTTTGCTCTGTGAGTGCGTATTGTGCAGTGCATACTTTTATGTGAGGTCATTCATGGATTTGTGCATGTGTGTGTGTGTGTGCATGCTAGTATATATAAGAGCATCCATGTGTTTGTGTGCGTGAGACATCATTCATGTCAGAATGCCTAAAACAAAGCTGTGACCAGCTGTGATCTGTCTAGCACCCATCATTGTTATCCTCTTGTCTGCTAATTGACTCCGTGGTTGTTTCTGGTGAGCCTTGTTAATCTCAGGTTGTGTACCCTCAAGTTTGGTTTACAGATGTCTATTGTATCGCTTACCTAGGACTCTGTTGTTGTACTGGAGACCCTAGCCTGCACAAATATGGGCTTCAGTTTGATCCTCAGCAGAGAAAGTACAATGTATTGCAATGAGTACAGTTGTGGGATCCAGCTGGCCTCACCGAACATGGGTCAGAGAGTTGTCCCTGGCCACCCACTGTATATCATGGAAGTCCTGTCACTGGGCTCCATGGCAGTCACTGCTGTATGACTTGCAGCTGTCCAGCAGCAGAATTGTCTATGAAAGCATGATTGAGTATGCCTAGAAGACCTTCATCAGCAACCAAAAGTGTATACAGAAAGCACGTATATGTACAGACATTTACAAATATAGTGTGAAGATCAACACACACAAACAATCATACGCATGGATAGACAGAAATGAACATGAGAGAAACATGTCACAACAGATAAACTAATGCTTGAGATGTACATGGATGATTGGGAGAGCTGACTCGTGAGTCAGACATGCAGTAATGGCCACATCTTGTCTTGCAGAATTCTCCCTGGTAAAGCTCAAATTCTCATTACTCACACACATCCAGCAGAGAGGAGATAGGACAGCAGTACTTACTCACACACAGCCAGCAGAGAGGAGATAGGACAGCAGTACTTACTCACACACAGCCAGCAGAGAGGAGATAGGACAGCAGTACTTACTCACACACAGCCAGCAGAGAAGAGATAGGACAGCAGTACTTACTCACACACAGCCAGCAGAGAGGAGATAGGACAGCAGTACTTACTCACACACAGCCAGCAGAGAGGAGATAGGACAGCAGTACTTACTCACACACAGCCAGCAGAGAGGAGATAGGACAGCAGTACTTACTCACACACAGTCAGCAGAGAGGAGATAGGACAGCACTACTTACTCACACACAGCCAGCAGAGAGGAGATATGACAGCAATACTTACTTACATCAGAAATTATGAAATCTGATCCCAGAGTGGATTCCAAAGCGCCCCCCCACAACAAACTTGACATAATACTCCAATATTTAAAAAGAAATGTTTATACTACAAGCTTTTATTACTTCTCTTGCATACAATCACCAGTGCACTAAACAGATATAAAATCATTTTTACTACAAGCTTTTATTACTTCTCTTGACACAATCACCAGTGCACTAAACAGATATAAAATCATTTTTACTACAAGCTTTTATTACTTCTCTTGACACAATCACCAGTGCACTAAACAGATATAAAATCATTTATACTACAAGCTTTTATTACTTCTCTTGCATACAATCACCAGTGCACTAAACAGATATAAAATCATTTTTACTACAAGCTTTTATTACTTCTCTTGACACAATCACCAGTGCACTAAACAGATATAAAATCATTTTTACTACAAGCTTTTATTACTTTGCTTGCATACAATCGCCAGGGCACAAAACAGATATACAGTCATTTATACTATGGTATTTTGAACAAACTATATGCACAGTGATGTGTTTTATCACATTTCTGTTGTATGTTTACTTCATCATATAATTTAATGGAAACATGAGTTTATCTTATTATCTTTACAAATAATCATCTACAAAAAACCAGGACTAATAAAAGTGAGGGGCGGCCACATATCTGTATACATAACAACTAAATCATATTTATAAAGGCAGTGTCCTGTGACAGGTTGAGCCCAGTATATCAATTGTTATTTAGGTGTCCCTGGAGTCAAAGCACCTGGGCTAGTTTTGTTGTTGTTTCCCAGCCGCCGACTACCAGGAGAATATTGCATCAGTCATCCAAACTGAATGGTCAAACGGCCTGGCAAAGGTTTTTTTGCTTGCCTGCTTGTTCTACCCCACCAGGACATAACACAAGTGATAAATACCTGATGACACAAAGTGCTACCATGCGGATGAGGATCACCCGTGGAGAGGTACCAGAAACCCTTTTCAGCAGTTGTGGCAAAAAATGTGGCCCAACTATATTCAGGGCCCCCTGCAATATCCAGGGTGGCGCTTCAAATAAGGAACATTTGCATCCCACAAGGAAAGACCTGTTGGATATATGAGAATTGTCTTTTAAGTGTTTGCCTTTGCCATTTGGGTCATACCCGTCACTTGGCTTTGTGACCAATGTTTTTACATATGACATAAGTAGTTAACAGAAAATTATGAAAAACCCCACATATTTTTCAAAGCTTGCCAAATATAAAGCGATGTCACTATTAAGAAATATATGTTAAAAATAATTATATTTGATTTTTTGGGGGTCAAAAAATAGGTATAACTCAACACATTTCGTTTACAAAATTTTAAAAAAATTATTTCCCTTGTAGAATTATTGTTTTGCTAAATATATTTCATTTACTAGCCTTATAAAGTAGTAGACATTAAAAATGACCTCAAAGAAACAAAAATTGTCATAATATGTTTTCACTACATTACAGTTTCATCACAAAGCATGTGTTTGCAAAATGTAAGCATTATAGCTTATCTGGAAATAGTATAAAAATGGAACGCAAACAGCCAACCAGATAACCAAACAATTTCAAACATAATGAAAGCTTATAACAAGCGACTAATCAGAGGTTTGCCAAAAATCAGGTGTGTTTGGTCGAAAGCTGCAGGAGTGGCAGCCAAGCTGTGCACCACCACACGGCCGAGCTGTGCACCACCACACGGCCGAGCTGTGCACCACCACACAGCCTGCCAACCACCCTGTTAAGAACCGATGCAGAAGAAAAAACTAACCTCTGAATCCACACATGAATGCATCCATTCTTGTATGAATGACCTCTGAACCCACACGTGTATGCATCCATTCTTGTATGAATGACCTCTGAACCCACACATGTATGCATCCATTCTTGTATGAATGATCTCTGAACCCACACATGAATGCATCCATTCTTGTATGAATGACCTCTGAACCCACACATGAATGCATCCATTCTTGTCTGAATGACCTCTGAACCCACACATGTATGCATCCATTCTTGTATGAATGACCTCTGAACCCACACATGTATGCATCCATTCTTGTATGAATGACCTCTGATCCCACACATGAGTGCATCCATTCTTGTATGAATGACCTCTGAACCCACACATGAATGCATCCATTCTTGTATGAATGACCTCTGAACCCACACATGAATGCATCCATTCTTGTATGAATGACCTCTGAACCCACACATGTATGCATCCATTCTTGTATGAATGACCTCTGAACCCACACATGAATGCATCCATTCTTGTATGAATGACCTCTGAACCCACACATGAATGCATCCATTCTTGTATGAATGACCTCTGAACCCACACATGTATGCATCCATTCTTGTATGCACTTATACTTTTTGGACAAGCATATGGTGTGCACAGCTTTTTTTGTGTGCTTGATTTTTTCTTAATATTCATCTCAAGTAAGTGAGGCTGTTATTAGATTCTGTTGCCAGCTTTGATGTTTGCTTTATTGTTCTGTGGACTTTGTGTCTACCCTAGTTATTGATTGTTGTTACTGCTGGCAATGCATCCTGGTGTTCATAGATGGGAGATAAACATTTGTAGATGGCAGAATAACATTCCTAGATGGGGAGGGGGGGGGGGGGGGGATTAACATTTGTAGATTAGAGATTAACATTTGTAGACGGGAGATTAACATTTGTAGATAGGAGATGAACATGCATAATGTAGGAGATTAACATTCGTAGATGGTAGATTAACATTCATAGATGGGAGATTAACATTTGTAGATGGGAGATTAACATTTGTAGATGGGAGATTGACATTTGTAGATGGGAGATTAACATTTGTAGATGGTAGATTAACATTTGTAGATGGGAGATTAACATTTGTAGATGGGAGATTAACATTCATAGATGGCAGATGAACATGCATAATGTAGGAGATTAACATTCATAGATAGTAGATTAACATTCATAGATGGGAGATTAACATTTGTAGATGGGAGATTAACATTTGTAGATGGGAGATTAACATTTGTAGATGGGAGATTAACATTTGTAGATGGCAGATCAACATGCATAATGTAGGAGATTAACATTCGTAGATGGTAGATTAGCATTCATAGATGGGAGATTAACATTCATAGATGGGAGATTAACATTTGTAGATGGGAGATTAACATTCATAGATGGGAGATTAACATTCGTAGATGGGAGATTAACATTCGTAGATGGGAGATTAACATTTGTAGATGGGAGATTAACATTTGTAGATGGGAGATTAACATTTGTAGATGGGAGATTAACATTTGTAGATGGGAGATTAACATTTGTAGATAGGAGATTAACATTCGTAGATGGGAGATTAACATTTGTAGATGGGAGATTAACATTCGTAGATGGGAGATTAACACTTGCAGATAGGAGATTATTATTCGCAGATGGGAGATTATTATTCCCAGATGGGAGATAAACATTCATAGATGGCAAATAAACATTTGTAGGTAAAAGATTAAGATTCAGAAATGGGAGATTAAGTGTACATAGATCTAAGATTAGCGTTCATGGATGGGAAATTGATTCATTTTATTAATTGTGTGATATTACTGTGACATTCAGCTAGTGTAGCCTGTCAGCTCTGTGAATGTGGAATGTAACTGTAACATTCAGCTAGTGTAGCCTATCAGCTCTGTGAATCATGTATGAATACTGCAACAGATCTAAGAACATAGAGAAATGTTTAGTTTCATATCCTTTACAAGAGCAGTGGCAGAATTGTCTGGTTGTTTGTAGTTTTACCAATCAGTCTTAGCTTGAGTAGTTCTCCAGACCTGTGTCAAGAGACTAGTTTTACCAAGCAGTCTTAGCTTGAGTAGTTCTCCAGACCTGTGTCCAGAGTGTAGTTTTACCAATCAGTCTTAGCTTGAGTAGTTCTCCAGCCCTGTGTCCAGAGTGTAGTTTTACCAATCAGTCTTAGCTTGAGTAGTTCTCCAGCCCTGTGTCCAGAGTGTAGTTTTACCAATCAGTCTTAGCTTGAGTAGTTCTCCAGACCTGTGTCAAGAGCCTAGTTTTACCAATCAGTCTTAGCTTGAGTAGTTCTCCAGACCTGTGTCCAGAGTGTAGTTTTACCAATCAGTCTTAGCTTGAGTAGTTCTCCAGGCCTGTGTCCAGAGTGTAGTTTTACCAATCAGTCTTAGCTTGAGTAGTTCTCCAGGCCTGTGTCCAGAGTGTAGTTTTACCAATCAGTCTTAGCTTGAGTAGTTCTCCAGGCCTGTGTCCAGAGTTTGATGCTCAGATTGTTGTCCGAAACAAAAATACTGCAGAGCAATCTGCTGCCAGCCAGCCTCACTAACTTGGAACTCTGGTTTGTTGGAATTATGAAACCCTGTTCAGTACCTCTGAGCCAAGATGTTGACAAACATTTAAAACACTGTAACAACTAACCCTAGTGTTGGAATATCTGTGGAGGTTACATTCACATCATTGATCAGAAAACACTTTTGGAATGTCATGTAAGCTTAATGTTTAGGCTATGATATGGGAAGGTTTAGTTTAGGCAGACAGGTGGCATAAACTGTTTAGACTGGGTGTAGAGAAAGGTTCAGTTTAGACAGACAGATAGCATAAACTGTATAGACTGGGTGTAGAGAAAGGTTTAGTTTAGGCAGACAGGTGGCATAAACTGTTTCTACTGGGGATATAGAAAGGTTTGGGTAGAGCAGACATATGAAATGCTTGTGATTACAAAGATAACTTTTTTATCTGTCTTCCTGTCTGCTGTAGGCTATCACTGGGACACGTCTGACTGGGCCCCGGGTCCTTCTCTACCCAACATCTCCGAGATCCCCATCAACGAGATCCTCGACTCTCCATCATCTTCTCAACCTAGTGACGACTGCAATGTCAGTGCCGTCAATTTTGCAGATGATGACGATGAAGATGACAACATCACCACTAGAGCCATCTACAATGGGGACGACGACAGCCCCTTGCTGAGTTCTGATGAACAGCGACAGAACAACATCAGCAACAGCATCGTCAACGATGATGAGGATGATGATGAGGAAAACATCATTTCTCATCTTATAATGGCCGACCAGGACCAGGATTACTTTGAGGACTCCGAGTACGTGGGGGACTCGGAGTATGCAGAGAACGAGCCGTACGAGCGCGATGACATGCCGCCCAGTTACGCCGACCACCCCAAGTACGAACAGCTGCTGCAGGCCATCAACGACAGCTACGAGCTGCCAGGTAATCTCAGCGTCCACCCCAACAAATACCTGCCCAAGTACAACCTGTCCCACCAGGATCTGGACATAGACCCACTGACAGAGGACGAGAACATTGACAGTAGGCCATCCGGGGCCGCCTATCTTCCCCAGGATTCTCCACCAGAACAAAGCTTCCCAGCTCTGAGACCCCCAAAGGAGTTTATGACCCCAGGATACATAACTGACGACTACACCACGGACCAGGAGCCTCCGTCTCGAACATCTTTCATCGATGACATGAGCATGTCGTGCGGGGGGTTCACCTCCAACGCCTCGTGTTCTGACATCTCAGGTCTGTGTGAAATAGAGGACAGTGAAATCAATGTTAGTGACAGTGATGATGAAAACACACCATGCTTGACCCCTGGTCAGTTCCAGACCAGAGTGTGACCACCACCAGCTTGGCCACTCAACTGCTAGCAGAACCAAAAATGTAAATTATTATTTTCTTCAGTCCATGTGCAGATATATTTTTATTATTTTGCTAGATTTATATTTTTTCAGGTCTGTCTGTATACTTGTCTGTAAGATGTGGACAAGTTGGTCTGTTTGTGTCTGTGAGACAGAGACATGTTCAGTTTGTGTCATTATGTCTCTGGGACAAGGACATGTCTGTCTATGTTGATGTGTGTAAGACAAGGACATGTCTGTCTGTGTGTTGATGTGTGTAAGACAAGGACATGTCTGTCTGTGTGTTGATGTGTGTAAGACAAGGACATGTCTGTCTGTATGTTTATGTGTGTGAGACAAGGACATGTCTGTCTGTGTGTTTATGTGTGTAAGACAAGGACATGTCTGTCTGTGTGTTTATGTGTGTAAGACAAGGACATGTCTGTCTGTGTGTTTATGTGTGTAAGACAAGGACATGTCTGTCTGTGTGTTTATGTGTGTAAGACAAGGACATGTCTGTATGTTTATGTGTGTAAGACAAGGACATGTCTGTCTATGTTTATGTGTGTAAGACAAGGACATGTCTGTCTGTATGTTTATGTGTGTAAGACAAGGACATGTCTGTCTATGTTTATGTGTGTAAGACAAGGACATGTCTGTCTGTATGTTTATGTGTGTAAGACAAGGACATGTCTGTCTGTGTGTTTATGTGCGTAAGACAAGGACATGTCTGTCTATGTTTATGTGTGTAAGACAAGGACATGTCTGTCTGTGTGTTTATGTGTGTAAGACAAGGACATGTCTGTCTGTGTGTTTATGTGTGTAAGACAAGAACATGTCTGTCTGTGTGTTTATGTTTGTAAGACAAGGACATGTCTGTCTGTGTGTTTATGTGTGTAAGACAAGGACATGTCTGTCTATGTTTATGTGTAAGACAAGGAGATGTTTGTCTGTATGTTTATGTGTGTAAGACAAGGACATGTCTGTCTGTGTGTTTATTTGTGTAAGACAAGGACATGTCTGTCTATGTGTTTATGTGTGTAAGACAAAGACATGTCTGTCTATGTTTATGTGTGTAAGACAAGGACATGTCTGTCTATGTTTATGTGTGTAAGACAAGGACATGTCTGTCTGTATGTTTATGTGTGTAAGACAAGGACATGTCTGTCTGTATGTTTATGTGTGTAAGACAAGGACATGTCTGTCTATGTTTATGTGTGTAAGACAAGGACATGTCTGTCTATGTTTATGTGTGTAAGACAAGGACATGTCTGTCTGTATGTTTATGTGTGTAAGACAAGGACATGTCTGTCTATGTTTATGTGTGTAAGACAAGGACATGTCTGTCTATGTTTATGTGTATAAGACAAGGACATGTCTATTCTGTGTGTTTATATCTATAAGACGGGGAAATACCAATGTTTATATCAGTGAAACAGGGTCATGTCTAAGGCAGGAATATAATTGTTTGTTTCTTTATGTCTATGTATGTGGTTATGTCTGTGTATGTGATTATGTCTATGTATGTGAATATGTCTGTAATAAACAGGACCTGCGGCAGGACTTGGCTGGGCTCTAGACAGGAGCTGACCAGTGGTCACTTGTTCTGAGACAGGGCTCTCACTCAAGGATGTTTATCTGTGACATAATTATTGACTTGTCCATGAAATAAGCAGATGTCCTTGTTCTCTCAGACATGATGGTTCAGTAATCGTGCCACAGCAGACTTCTCTACCTGTGTGGTTGTCCTGGTTTGGGACTTTGGTCCAGGTAATAGCAACAGAAGCACCTCTAGACTGCAGGTGCTTCCAATTCTAGTCAAGACTGCACAGTGTCTCCACAGAGCCCAGTGTGCTACTGCCTGGGCTGCAGAAGGACAGCTCAAACAAGATCTCAAGGTGCTTTTATCGCAGTCCAACAGAGTGAGACAACAGAAAGATAAATGACATGATATGTTCTTTAGACAAACTTTGATATTGTACTGTTGTGTTAGTTTGTTCTTTGATGTTGATGTTATGAGTCCAACTGAAACTGCATTTGTGGTCACCAGTAGTCACTCGAGCCCAACTGTGTGTAGTTAGACTGAGACTGTGTGTTTGGTTGCTCAGTGTAGATCTCAGATGCTGAAACTAGAATCTGGAAACAGTCACCAGGTTTGCTGTCAGCTATGGTAGACAACTCAGTCCAGTGAGTTGAAACAGTTGTTTTTATCAGCTGACATGCTAGTGTATATTTCTCTAGTTACTGTTGTGTGTATCAGCACAGAAGG